AGATGGAGTCTCACTCTGTCACCCAGGCTGGAGTACAGTGGCGTGATCTCAGCTCACTGCAACCTCCACCTCCCGGGTTCAAGCTATTCTCCTGCCTCAGCCTCCCAAGTAGCTGGGACTACAGGTGCGCACCACCACACCCGGCTAATTTTTTATATTTTTAGTAGAGACGAGGTTTCATCATATTGGCCAGGCTGGTCTTGAACTCCTGACCTCGTGATCTGCCTGCCTTGGCCCCCCAAAGTGACGGGATTACAGGCATGAGCCACTGCACCCGGCCCTATGTGAGCTTTAATTTAGAAATATCTCACTAAATCACTTTCTAACACCCTCAGTTTGCTGGAAGAAAACTTAGAATCAGATATAAGCATATTTAAACCAATATACCATGTATCTAGAAATCTGTAGAAGTGTCTTTTAAGCATTTGATTCTTTTTTTTTTTTTTTTTTTTTTTTTGAGACAGAGTCTTGCTGTGTCACCCAGGCTGGAGTGCAGTGGCGCGATCTCAGCTCACTGCAACCTCTGCCTCCAGGGTTAAAACAGTTCTCCTGCCTCAGCCTCCCGAGTAGCTAGAATTATAGGCGCCTGCCCCCATGCCTGGATTTTTTTTTTTTTTGTAGTTTTAGTAGAGACGGGGTTTCACCATGTTGGCCAGGCTGGTCTTGAACTCCTGACTTCGTGATCTGCCCACCTCGGCCTCCCAAAGTGCTGGCATTACAGGCGTGAGCCACTACACCTGGTCTAATCATTTGATTCTTATCGGCTCTTATTATAAATATAGTTCAAGCAGTCATTTGTATAGAAACACATTGTAAAAGGAGAGGATTGTAAGAGCAATCAAATGATAACTGAAGGAAAGAATGCTTGTATCCTAGTGCATTATAATATAGGCCTGAGCCACTGCACCCAGCCTCAAATCATAAACTTTTTTTTTTTTTTTTGAGACAGGTCTTGCCCTGTTGCCCAGGCTGGAGTGCAGTGACACAGTCTTGGCTCACTGCAAGCTCCGCCTCCCAGGTTCAAGCGATTCTCCTGCCTCAGCCTCCTGAGTAGCTGGGATTATAGCCACGTGCCACTGCACCCGGCTAATTTTTTGTATTTCCAGTAGAAATGGTGTTTCACCATGTTGGCCAGGCTGGTCTTGAATTCCTGACCTCAGGTCATCCACCTGCCTCGGCCTCCCAAAGTGCTAGGATTACAGGCATGAGCCACTGTGCTCAGCCTCAAATCATAAACTTTTTTAAAAAAGGGTTTATCCCTGACCCTCTAGATTAGGTTATCTGCCTTGTTACATGCTCTTTTAGCACTTAATCCTAATTGTGATTGTGTATTTATTATATGATTGATTGTTCAACAGTTTCTTTCAACAAATATTTGCTAAGTGTTTAGTAAATCTTTTGGATTGTAAGCTTCATTAAGGCAGAGTAAGGACTGGGTCTATGGTTTCTCTTGGCCATGTGCACCTAGCACCTAGCACAGTGCTTAGACATAGACATAGGGAGTACTTAATACATAGTCATTGAATGGATACATTAAAATGGCATTAATAATGCTGCCTGATAAGGCTGCTGTGAGCCTTCAATGAAATTGTGTATAGGAAGTGCTAGTTTGCTCACAGGCTGGTGGTAACAGTCTACTGTGGTCATTGAGAGCAGTTATTGTGGACACAACCCCCAATTCTGGTTCCTCCACCTACTAGCTCTGTGAACCCACATAGGTCCTTAATATCTCTGATTTTTATTTTATTTATCTGTAAAATGAAACTAATAATTACACTTGCAGGACAGAGTCTTGCTCTGTCACCCAGGCTGGAGTGCAGTGGTGCGATCTTGGCTCACTGCAAGCTCCGCCTCCTGGGTTCATGCCATTCTTCTGCCTCAGCCTCCCAAGTAGCTGGGACTACAGGTGCCCGCCACCACGCCTGGCTACCACGCCTGGCTAAATCTGTATCAAAAAAAAAAAAAAGGTACTATTGAGGATATAATATAATTAACCTGAATAGGTTAATTATATTATGGAACCTAAACCATATAAATTTAAAATGCCTTAGAATACCTAGTCAGCAAGTGACAGTATTAGAAATCAACCTGGATTTTAGACCGCTGTGTGTTCATGGATAATGTTTGTGTTTAGGAGTCTGTTCTGAATAGTGGTTTGCAGTCCTTTATGTGCATCCCCTGTGCACTGGATGCGTCACTCCCCTTTTCTGACTAAAGCATATGAAAATACAGTGAAAAAGTCAAGTTATTACAGGAATAACTTTTTTTTCTAATTTTCGTATTTTAAAAATTCATTTGTAAGCATTTGATACTTTAAACCTGTTTACAGGAGCTTGGTATAAACTACCATGTCCAGCCCTTTGTCTCATATTTGAATTGTTTTACTTTCTTCTTGGCCACATGGCCCTGACTTCTCACTTTCATAAGAAGGGTTTGTATTGTGGAGATATAAATTGTGGAGTTGTTTGCATTAATACAAGTGTTTGTGGAAGAAGATGCCAAACTTTCCTGTAATTGGTAATGCACCTTTATTGTAGGCTCAGCAAAACAGTCCCTCATCTACAGGATCTGGCAACACAGAGCATTCCTGCAGCTCCCAAAAACAGATCTCCATCCAGCACAGACAGACCCAGGTAGGTTGGTGATCAATAATCAAGTGAGGGGCATAACTGCTGTGTAGGAATAAGTGCTAACCTGTGTAGTCTGTGATTCTTCTCTGTCTTCTCTGACCACCTCATTATTTGTGTGTATTATATTCAGAACTTGCATTATGGGTGTTTAAAGTCCTTTGGAAGATGCTTTAACTTTTCTTTACTCTTCTGGTGTATTGTAGCAGAAATGCTTATGCTAAAGCATGGCGTTAAGGAAAGTGCACACTTTTTGTTTTTTTTTTTTCCTACAGTATTCCACAGAAGAAAAGTACCTCCACTTTGAAGGCCTCAGTTCAGATTCTGGCACTGTGGCCTAAGTTCAGATTCTGTCCTGGGCCTCAGTTTTTCTTAGTACAAAGCATCTGTGAAAATGTGGTTGGTTCTCATGATCTCAGACAGTGTATACAAAGTGTTTCTTAGTAGTGTACTTGTAGTAGGTTTTCAATAAATGTTAATTCCCTAATTTATGAAAGTAGTTAATGTATTCCTTTTCCTGCTTACTTATTTTTACCTGGCTAAACTTCTCTCAGATGTGAGATACCAACATGGCTTACTCCTTAAATTATGTTCAGAAACTCTTTAATTTAGGGAGTATTCTGAACATTTGAGGATTATATCTGCAAAGGATGGTGGCTATAGCTTCCATTTTGTAGTTTTGAGTATACTGAGTTTTCTTGAAGCCTCTTTTGATACTATATATATTACCTTCAAGACAGGATGGTTGGCAATCTAGGAGAATTTCTTAAATCTCAAGAACTATACAACTCCCTGGAGCACATTTGAATTTTATCTAAGTCACCACCAGCTCTTGTACAGTTCAGTTAGATAGTTGAGCACTCAGGTAGCTGCTTCTCTTCCCTTCTGATTACTCTGTGTTTCCACCAGATGGCGCATTTGTTCCTTAGACATTTGGGTCAAGTCTCCTATGAGATCCTTTTCTATTCAAAGTTAGTTTCATTACTGGAGTAGCATGTTTCTACATTGTTCGGTGCACAGTAGTGAGAATTCATACATTTGATTCCAGAATTAACATGTGTTTGAAGTGTAGGTGTAGTGGGACATAGGAAACCCAGCAGAGGACTTGAAGAATGAGATGAGACAAGCAGATTTCATTTCTTGAGCCATGTGATTCTAGGCCATTTGTGTGAGCAAGTGCTTTTTTTGCACCCCTCCGAGAAAGGTAATGAGAAGAGTGTGATGACATATAACATGTTGAGACTAATCCTAAATTTGTTTTACCTTTGTCTCTGTAGTCTGACCTCACAATAGAAAAAATATCTGCACTAGAAAACAGTAAGAATTCTGACTTAGAGAAGAAGGAGGGAAGAATAGATGATTTATTAAGAGTAAGTATTAAAATGTGGTAAGAGATTTTATAGCAAGCACCATTTGTTATGTATATTTGTATTATGTACATATCATAGTAGTAGTTACTATAGCCAGATAACAAAATGAAATAGTGAACATTTGGGTATTTTTCTTTAATTGAGGGAATCCGAGTAGGAACCCGGTTCCTACATTCTAAACACTACCTTTAAATTGGAAATCTTATACTGTAGTATATTTAATGATTGAATTTATACTGGAGAAATAGATATGTGGAGTGTTATATTTCATCTAGAACCGTGGGAATAAGTATAAAGTGTTGTTTTCCCATTCCAGTGAAGTTTTTTAAATATTGTTGAATTTTATAAGTTATTTCAAAAGGACTTTTTAGCCCATTTTGCCTTTTGGCTCATACTTTTAAAAAAGTAAAAAGGGCTGGACATGGTGGTTCACACCTGTAATCCCAGCACTTTGGGAGGCCGAGGCAGGTGGATCACTTGAGGTCAAGAGTTTGAGATCAGCCTGGCCAACGTGGTGGAAAGAAACCCTGTCTCTGCTAAAAAATATAAAACATTATCCTGGTATGGTGGCAAGCGGCTGTAGTCCCGGCTGCTTGGGAGGCCGAGGCAGGAGAATCACTTGAGCCTGGGAGGTGGAGGTTGCAGTGATCCAAGATCGCGCCACTGCATTCCAGCCTGGGCGACAGAGTGATACTTTGTCTCAAGAAAAAAATAAGAAGAAGGACCGGGCATGGTGTCTCATACCTGCCACTTTGGGAGGCTGAGGCAGTAGGATTGCTTGCCACCAGGGGTTTGAGACCAGCCTGCACGACACAGCAAGACCTCATTTCTACAAAAGAATACAAAATTTGCCAGGCATGGTGGTGTGCCTGTGGTCCCAGCTACTGGGAGCCTGAGGTGGGAAGATGCTTGAGCCCAGGAACTCTAGGCTGCAGTGAGCCAAGATCGTGCCGCTGCACTCCAGCCTGGACAACAGAGCAACACCCTGCCTCAAAAAAAAAAAAGATTGTACATGCTCTTTACCAAATACAGAAAAATATGTCACTCATAATTCCATTAATTGGGATTAAACATTTGGCACATTTTTTTTTCAGTAATTTTTTTGAGCTGTTTGAAGGAGAGAGAGAGAGAGAGAGAGATACATATATATGTGTATATTACATATGTGTGTATATATGTATATATTACATATGTATATGTATACATTACATGAATAATCTTTTATGTAATACATTACATAATGTATTACATAAATATGTATATGTATACATATACATATGTAATATATACATTACATAAATAATCTTTATTATTAAACATATTTGTGCTAATGTGGTAGTTAATCTGCCTCTTTAGGGTCCTGAAACCTCCAGGGCTACCGTGACACAGCGAGGTGGGGATCCGCGGCCTTGCCTTTGTCAGTCTTTCTTATTAGGCTTCGGGTACAATTTTGTTTGAATAAAGGTATATGTTTAATAATAAAGATAAAAAAAGTCATTGTACTCATGATGATCTGACCTCCAAAATTTTTTTACTTGTATTATATTTCTGTAATTAATAAAAACGTAGGGTAAAATAGTGTAGTTTGACTCCTTTTTATATAAAACCTGGAATTCAGCACATAACTAAACTAAGTCTGGCCTTTATTAGTAAAGTCTAGTGTGTTTATATTATTATTAATTTTATATATTTATTTTGAGACAGGGTCTCACTCTGTCACCCACGCCGGAGTGCAGTGGCACAGTCTTGCAAGCTGTGCCCTCCCCAATCCCCACCTGAAGTGATCCTCCCACCTCAGCCTCCCAGGTAGCTGGGACTACAGGCATGTGCCACTGCATTTGGCTGTTTATATTATTGTTAGTTAATTTATTTTTTGAGACAGAGTCTCACTTTTTCACCCATGCTAGAGTGTAGTGGCATGATCTTGGCTCACTGCAACCTCTGCCTTGTAGGTTCAAGGGATTCTCCTACCTCAGCCTCCCAAGTAGCTGGGATTACAGGCATGCACCACAATGCCTGGCTTGTTTTTGTATTTTTAATAGAGATGGTTTTTTGCCATGTTGGCCACGCTGGTCTCAAACTCCTGACCTGCAGTGATCGGCCCGCCTTGTCCTGCCAAAGTGCTGGGATTACAAGTGTGAGTCACTGCGCTCGGCTTATATTATTATTATTAAATTATTATTTTTGCTACTTTATATGATACTAAGTTCTTATGTCTAGAGTATAGGCAGAGACAGCTTTATTACCAAATTTGTAGTCATTGTTAGACTTGTTTCTTCAACTGATTTCAAAGCTTATCAACAGTTTTTTTTTTATTTATAGTTTTTGTTTTATCTGTTGATGGTGATACATTTTTAAGTGATTATTTTTCAGCAAGGATTTGTCAGTGTTAAATTTTCTGTGCCTTGCAGACCTGAGAATTCTCTCTTTTGCCCTCCCATGAAAAGACAACACTGTGTGCAGGATTTTTGTATCATAACCCTTTGTTTTGTTCATTCTGCCTCTCAAATATAATACACACATTCTCTCTCTCTGTCTCTCCTTCAGTTTTTCAAGCATTTAGTATTTCAGAGAAGTTCATGACCAAAGCAGGAAACACCATAATTTGTTAAATATTACCCCAGGGTGTATCTATATGTGGGTTTATATATTTTTATTTGGAAAATGCGTGATTATGTCTAACTATGCTTTTATCCCTCTTCATATTGGTTTCTTCTTGGCTCTTAGCTTGAATCTCTGATTTCTCTCCTTTATTTCTAACATGTTATGTCTCATTTTAATGTGATTGCCTCTTCTGAATCTCATTAAACACTGTCTTCTGTATATTTCTGGCATTTACTGCAGCTCATGTGAATTTTGATTTTATTGTTTATATTTTTATTTTTTGAGACAGTGTGTTGCTGTCGCCCAGGCTGGAGTGCAGTGGCACTGTCACGGCTCACTGCAGCCTTCATCTCCCAGGCTCAAGCAGTCCTCTCACTTCAGCCTCCTGAATAGCTGGGACTACAGGCACGTGCCACTGTGCTTGGCTAATTTTTTTATTTTTTGTAGGAATAGGGTCTCACTATGTTGCCCAGGCTGGTCTTGAACTCTTGGGCTCAAGCAGTCCTCCTGCCTTGGCCTCCCAAAGTGCTGGGATAACAGACGTGAACCACTGTGCCAGGCCTATTTACATTTTAAATTTCCCTGCTTTTTTCCCCTCATGTAATATACTTTCTTATCCCATCCTGTATATTCTCTAGGGTTTTTGGTTCTTATTTCCTAGATATCATGTCTTTTTGCATTTTATGAAATATGACAAGAATTCTAAAATATTCTTTTGATTTCTATGGGTGTTTTCAAGCTGATTTTCTGTATTCCTTGGGCCTAATTTTTTTGTTGTTTTTATTTACTATTGTTATTTTTATTTCCTTTTCTCCATCTTTGAATGAGAAGACCCACACGTAGTCTCAGCACTGTGTTCTGTTTCTCATCGTTCGGATATGTATACTTGTGTGGAGTTGCTCTTATTCCTGTTTTTATTCATTTGGGTGCTGGTTGAATTGCCATCGAAGATTTATAATGAAATGGTTTGTGGGTGTAAAAAGCTCTTTGCCAGATTCCAGTATCTGTCAGGGTTTTGTACAGAGAAGCTCTGCTGGACTGAGAAAGAATTGTGGGTGTGCCTTTCTCCATCATCTAACTCTTTAAGATTGAGATGACAGAGTATGAGAAAAACTTGAATCCTAACGTGGGTACTGCTTTAGGAGTTTTAAAAAAACGTTTGCTTATGTTTTCTAAGAAGCAATATGTTTCCTTCACTCACCACTGCCCCTTCTACTCCATCGTCTTCAGACAGTTGCAGTCTTTATTTGTATGTAGAGCAGTATTAAAGGAGTAGGTAAATAAAAAAGGAAGACACAGAGGGCAGCTGCGTTGTTTTTAGGTTGATTAGAACTTGTGCTTCTAGAAGATCTAGAGAATCGACAGTGGAGGAAAGACTACATGTCTTGTATATTCTTTCAGACGTCAGTCACTGAATTTTGCCATTTTAGTAAGATATTGGGTATGGCTGCATTGGGGGCTACTAGCCAGCTGCTTTTTTTTTTTTTTTTTTAATTTAAAAAAAGAGGAAACTGTCTTGCTCTGTCTCCCAGGCTGGAGTGCTGTGGTACAATCACAGCTTACTGCAGCCTCGACCTCCCAGGCTCAAGCAATCCTCAGCCTCCCGAATAGCTGGCATCAGAGGCATTTGCCACCACACATGGCTGATTTTCAAAATTTTATAGAGATAGCGTTTTGCCATGTTGCCAAGGCTGAACTCCTGGGCTCAAGCAATGCTCCTGCCTTGGCCTCCCAGAGTGCTGGGATTATAGGCATGAGCCACACGTGCCAGCCACCAGCTGTTACTTTTTTTTTTTTCTTTTTTTGAGACGGAGTCTCACTCTGTCGCCCAGGCTGGAGTGCAGTGGCCGGATCTCAGCTCACTGCAAGCTCCGCCTCCCGGGTTTACGCCATTCTCCTGCCTCAGCCTCCCGAGTAGCTGGGACTACAGGCGCCCGCCACCTCGCCCGTCTAGTTTTTTTGTGTTTTTTAGTAGAGACGGGGTTTCACCGTGTTAGCCAGGATGGTCTCGATCTCCTGACCTCGTGATCCACCCGTCTCGGTCTCCCAAAGTGCTGGGATTACAGGCTTGAGCCACCGCGCCCGGCCAGCTGTTACTTTAAACATGAACTCCTTGAAGACATTAGTGTCAGAAGCCACAAAAACTTAGAATTCTTAAAATTTTAAATAACTGCCAAGAGGTTGACTGATTTCATACATTTGATTATAGATTTCAAGGGAACACTCACCTTATTAATAGACTGGGTTTTCCATAAACATTAAATGATCTTTGCTTTGTAGATTTCTTAGTATGAATTTGGTAATCACACTTACCCAAATGTAGTTACACTCTGCCTTTGATAATATGGTTCTGTACAAAAACTAACAGGAAGAAATTATGCTGATAAGGAGAGGAGAAACATTTGGCGACAGAAGCTGTTTCCCATGGGTTACTTTTAAAATGAAGCTATATTATACAAAAGAAAAAATGATAAAACATTTTAATGAAGCTACAAAGTCTCAAAAATTGAGTATCGTGTAATATCTTCTGTTTGTGCTTTTATTTTAGAAACACATAACAGGGTTTTCTTTTTCATAATTTAAGTGAGTTTTTATGAGGTAATATTATTTGCTAGAAGAGCTGAGATCTTTTTTTTTTTTTTTTTTTTAACACAAAAGGAATAAATTCAGGACTTACAAGTCAAATTCGTCCTTGGGTTAGTGGTTCTTTCCTTCTCTGTTATTGCAGGAGACTTTAAGTTTTTAGTCCACACTGTAGGCTTCTGACCACAGCTAAATTAGCTGTGTATTTACATTCTGGCATTCTTGAATCAGGACCTTGTTTGTTTGTTCTGTCTTTTGTGGGCATGGGCGTGCCTAGCTTCTCTGGTGAGGAACATTTATGCAAATTTATATTTCTTAAATAAGACTAGAAAAAGAACAAAGCAAACATAAAATTCAGTAATTTTTTTGTACGTGCTTAATCACTCTTTGTATTTTAAACATTCATTGTAGTTTAGTTTTTTTTTTTTTTTTTTTGAGATAAGAGTCTTATTCTGTCACCTAGGCTGCAGTGCAGTGGTGCAATCTCGGCTCACTGCAACCGTCGCCTTTGGGTTCAAGTGATTCTCCCGCCTCAGCCTCCCAAGTAGCTGGAATTACAGGCTCCTGCTACCATGCCTGGCTGATTTTTAAATTTTTATTAGAGATGGGGTTTGACCATGTAGGCCAGGCTCATCTTGAACTCCTGACCTCGAGTCATCTGCCCGCCTCGGCCTCCCAAAGTGCTAGGATTGCACGCGGGAGCCATTATTCCCAGCCTTAACATTTTTTAAATTATTATTTTGTGATCGCTTAGGTGTTTGTGATTACAAGATTAGCTGTAACTGGTTATTGGCAGGAGCAAAATATGATCGGTAGAAAAACATGCTGAACTTAGTTATTCAATTTATCATTTACAAATAGATGATATATTATGAGAGAATAAAGGAATGAATTATTTACTTTTTCTAAGACATAGTTACTTCTTACCTGTTTGAACTTTAATTTTGCTTTTGATAGAACAACGTATAGAAATGATTTTTTTTTCTCTCCCTAGAAACTGCTTTTCTGTTAATCTTCTTCCTTGGAGCTAATTAAAATTTTTTTTCTCATTGAAGGCCAACTGTGATTTGAGACGGCAGATTGATGAACAGCAAAAGATGCTAGAGAAATACAAGGAACGATTAAATAGATGTGTGACAATGAGCAAGAAACTCCTTATAGAAAAGGTCAGTGAATAATGTTGGCCTAAACTCTGTATCCCAAGATACTCAAATGTGTGTCATTGTGTGGCTTTTTATTCCTTACTTGAGATGAAAATATTTAAAAGTAGAGCTTTTTAGGAACATGATTTGACAATTAGAATTTTTTCCTTGCATGGACACCAGACCAAGCATCCAGAGTGTTAATTTGGGATATGCTTTGTTGCTGTGCATTGCTTTGAGTGTGATATTGAACAAGGATAGCTTGTCCTAGTTGAGTTTATTTGGGGTATTGCTCTCCTAAATTCTTATATTCATTCTATCAATTGATGTGAGTATCCTATTACTATTAGAATCATTAACAATTGTTGCATTTTTGTTTCAGAGATGGCATTTAGAGTAACTTATGTATATAATAATGTGATAATTAAATGCTTTGTGCATTAAAAAATTAAAGTTGTCATATACTTGTATATGATTACTTAATTGGCTGATGTCCCCTTTATTATATTCATTGGTTAGTTGTCACTTATCTCTGTTAGTAGTTATTAGTAACTATTAGAAGTTTTTTTTGTTTTTTGTTTTTTTTTTTTGAGACTGAGTCTCATCCAGGCTGGAGTACAGTAGCATGATCTCAGCCCACTGTAGCCGTTGCCTCCTGGGTTCAAGCGATTCTCCTGCCTCAGCCTCCTGAGTAGCTGGGTTTACAGGCATGCACCACCATGCCTGGCCAATTTTTGTATTTTTATACAGGGTTTCGCCATGTTGGCCAGGCTGGTTTTGAATTCCTCACCTCAAGTGATCCGCCTGTCTCGGCCTCCCAAACTGCTCTGTTTACAGGCACTCATCTCTGTGCCCGGCCTATTTCTTAGAAGTTTTAAGAAGGCTATACTTCCTAATGACAATATTACAAGAACAAACTAGAGGTTTGAGATGTACTGGGGATTTATTTTCCTGAAATCTTTGGAATGTTGTTAAAAAGACAGTAAACACTGTCTCAGTAAAAGTGAATGGATTATTTTATTGAGGCCGAAGATACTGGGGAAAATTTTGTTTCATTCTTTGACTCATTAATCAACTTTATAGAAGAGAAATCACTTTTTAAAATTTTTTCTGAGAGTGAGAAAAAATAAAATATATGCTAATCCAGATAATTTCTTTGAAGTTTTAGAATACTTCTGGAAATCAGCATAGATTCAGCCAGTTGTACTAAACTCTAAATAGCATACTACAAAAAGTAAACATAATGCTGTCTCTGAGTTCTCACAGGAAAACAGAACTTTCTATTTGCTAGGAGTAGTACATAACAAAATTTAAATTTGTTTCCAAAAGAGCTGAAATTGTAGTACCTACTTATTGACTTTCTAAGTAGGGAATGTTTATTGAGTATCTGCTACACCGTGATGCAATATAAAGAAGCATAAATGGGCAGGGTGTGGTGGCTCATGCCTGTAATCCCAGCACTTTGGGAGGCCAATAAGGGCGGATCACTTGAGGTCAAGAGTTTGAGACCAGCCTGGCCAACATGGTGAATGAAACCCCGTCTCTACTAAAAATACAAAAAGTGGGCGGGTGTGGTGGTGTGCGCCTGTAATCTTAGCTACTCTGGAGGCTGAGACACGAAAATCACTTGAACTTGAAATCAGAGATTGCAGTGAGCCTGAGATCATGCCATTTCACTCCAGCCTAGGTGGTAGACTGAGACCATCTCAAAACAAAAACAAGCCAAAAAAAACCACACAAATGAAAATGCAATCATAGAGTGCAATATTATCTTTCGTAGAATTTGGATACATAAAATCTCTTATAACTTAATCATAAAAAGGCAACTCATTAAACATGAGCAGGAGACTTGAGCAGATAGTTTACCAAAAAAAGAGTATATAAAAATATGCAATTGGCAAGCATGAAAACATGCTCAATGGCATTATCCATCAGGAAAATTCAAGGTAAAACTAGTGTGAGATAGTACTACATACTCAGTAGAATGACTAGAAGTTAAAAAAACCTGACAGATCTAAGGGTTGGTGAAGATAGGGGACAGCCTGATTTCTTACACCAGTAGAAATGTAAAATATTACAACCACTTCAGAAGGTTTTTGGACAGTTTTTCTATTTGAGATAAATATGCACTAAATCCTGTGATCCAGCAGTTCCTCTCCTGGCATTTACCCAAGACAAATGAAAGTAAATGTTGGCCGGGCATGGTGACTTACACCTGTAATCCCAGCACTTTGGGAGGCTCAGGCACGAGGTTCACTTGAACCCAGGAGTTTGAGACTAGCCTGGGCAGCACAGTGAGACCATCTTTATTTTTAAAAACAGGAGAAAGCAAATGTCCATAAAAGTACTTGTATGAGAATATTCATGGCAATTTTATTCATAGCCAAAAAGCGGAAACATCCTAGGTGTCTCTTAACAAGTGACTGTATATACGAATTATGATATGGTCATACAGTGGAATACTACTTAGTAATAAAAAAGAGAATGAATTTCTCATAATAGAACAGTTTGCATGAATCTAAGAAACAAAAGACACAGTTCTGCCATCAGAGGGTAACAGTCTACATGAGGGTGGGAGAATGAGATACATTCACATATATAAGGAAACCTATTCAGGTGAGCAGTGCACTTACTAAGAATTCACTAAAATTAGTTGGGTGTGGTGGCACACACCTGTAGTCCTAGCTACTCAGGAGGCTGAGGTGGGAGGATCACTGGAGCCAGGAGTTGGAGGCTGTAGTAAGCTGTGATTGCACTGCTGCACTCCAGCCTGGGCAACAGAGTGAGACCCTGTCTCTTAAAAAAAAAAAAAAGAAGAGAGAAAGAAAAGAAATTCACTAAAATAAATCAAGGGCAGGAGACTAATTGGAGAAAGCTATAAAGAAAAGGAAGAATGTGTTCTGGGCATGGAAAACTGCAGCTATAAATTGCCTGTCAGTTGAAAATTGGGCATCTCAAGGACATTTATCCCATGGTATCATCTCTCACAGTACTTTATTCTTTTCCTTTGAATTCTTTACCACAGTTTGTACTTAGAATTACCAATTAATATATTTAGTGGTTATAATCCCCCGCCTCTCTCAGTTCACAAAAAACTGTGAACACCAGTTTTTTTCTATGTTCTGTACTTAACATTCTTACAGTTCATGACGTATAATTGTTTTTAAATAAACCTATGTTCAATAAATGATGTTCTCAGGAATCAGGAGTATATAAGGTGTTCTGGAGTAAGAATTCTGCAGGGAGGCAGATACAATCTTCTAGCGCATGGAGGAGTTTTTCTTGTTTGGATCCAAAGTTTGGTAGCAGAGACCCATGGAAGATTTGGAACATCAAACTGGAAGTGTGCAAAGTGGTGTTCTGAGAAGATGAATTGTCAGCAGTTCTCTGGAAAAGATTAGAGAAGAAACAGAAAATAGGGAAACAGCTTAAGAGCTAGGCATTGATGTGGCCCAAATGTGAGATGCTGAACTCTTAAGATTAAAAACACCTAGGCAGGCTGGACATGGTGGCTCAGGCCTGTAATCTCTGCACTTTGGGAGATGGAGGTGGGCTGATCACTTGAGGCCAGGAGTTCAAGACCAATGTGGCCAACATGGCAAAACCCAGTCTCTACTAAAAAATAGAAAAATTGGCCAAGCATGGTGGCTCACGCCTGTAATCTCAGCACTTTGGGAGGCTGAGGCGGGCGACTCACGAGGTCAGGAGTTCGAGACCAGCCTGGTCAACATAGTGAATCCCCGTCTCTGCTAAAAATACAAAAATTAGCTGGGCATGGTGGCATGTGCCTGTAGTCCCAGCTACTTGGAAGACTGAGGCAGAAGAATCACTTGAACCCGGGAGGTGGAGGTTGCAGTGAGCTGAGATCGCACCACTGCACTCCAGCTTGGGCAACAGAGTGAGACCTCGTCTCAAAAAATAAAAATAAAAATTATCCGGGTGTGGTGGCACGCACCTGTAGTCCCAGCTACTCAGGAGACTGAGGCAGGAGAACCGCTTAAACCTGGGAAGCAGAGGTTGCAGTGAGCCGAGATCATGGCTCTGCCCTCCAATCTGGGTGATAGAGCAAGACTCTGTCTTTAAAAAAAAAAAACACACGCACACACATAGACAGATTGGGAAACCTTTACCAAGGAAGAACCTGCAGTTGTTTCATTATTCTATCTTGTTTACTTTGTTTGAATAGGAATAGTAAGTCATCCAAGGAGTCATTATTGACTGTTGTGAGAAAGCGTATGGTTTTCAACAGTATGTTTCCTGATAATGTTAAATGTTTTAGTTTTAGTTTCTAAGAAGTGTCTTTATCCATGCTAATTGGTATTGAATTCCTTTTTTTGTCTGTTTCCCCTAAGTCAAAACAAGAGAAGATGGCATGTAGAGATAAGAGCATGCAAGACCGCTTGAGATTGGGCCACTTTACTACTGTCCGACATGGGGCCTCATTTACTGAACAGTGGACAGATGGTTATGCTTTTCAGAATCTTATCAAGTAAGTGAATTGTTACGATTAAATGGAGAATTGAAAAGTTCGTTTGGATTTTTTAGGTTTTCTGTAATTGTAGTCATTAATAATCCTAGTATTGGTAGTCATCTTTTCAGTTAGTTTTTTAGTCACCACATGTGTAAAGAAATGTATCGAATTAAGTGAAGTCCTGAAAAAAAAGACACAAGTAAAATCAGGAATACAAAATGTGTTCCAGAAAATAAAGAATGAGTTCTGCATTAAAACTTAAAAGAATCGGAATTGCTGAAGCTAAGGAAGAAAAACCTAGGGTCTGACTTTGTATCTTTCTAATTATATAATGAATTTTCATTAAGAGTCTGTTGAGCATTTATTGTGGATCCATAGAAAAATGAAATGTGAAAGGACCTAAGAAAGAATTTCCTGAGTTAAGTTTAGGTATAAAGCAGAATAAAACCATTGAAGAACTTTATAGGACATGTTCCTGGGATTATTTAAGGAGACAGTGTCCAGTCATCAGAGAGGCACTTCCTGGAAGGCAGTGGTGACCAGCCCCATTGCGTGTGCCTGTCTGCAGCTTGGAATCTTGAACATTCAGTGTCTTTGTCATAACTTTTGATTTGAAGCATTTAGGTATTTATTCCAAGGAGGGAATTAACATTTAAAATCCTCAAATTCCAACTGTGTGACTAGCTACCATTAGCTTAGATCTTTAAATGTATATAGATATCTTCAGATTGCAGTACCTTTTGGTGTATCTTTTTTTTTTAATTTCCAGGTCATGATGAATCGGAAGGTTCTATAGACTGCCTTTCCTTCCTTCCTGTGTTTTTTTGCTGAAATAGCTTGTTGAGTATGAATTGGAAAGCATATGACTACTTTTGAGTAATAATGAGACAAATAAGAAACTTATGCATGAAAGAAAATACAAATATTGATGCTATTTATAATATTTGTTAAAACTCACCTCTGAATTACTTGTTAGTAGTCCTTGTTTTATGTGTGAAACATTAACCTCCAACTTAGATTAAGCATGTTTTTGCTTCATGATTGTTCCTCATGTATGTATATTTTGGTGTGTGAAGAGGCTTTCAAGTCAAAGAATACCTTGAAAGGAAAGCACAGACTTTTCTTAGGCCAGCACCAGACATTTAGAGCAGCATTCACTCTGCATTCTTAAGCATAGGTGGCTGGTGATAGCAGAGGTATCAGGGCAATATAAACAGCGGTTACATGGAGGTATGATACCTGTTTATAACATCCTGGCCAAGAAATGCAAGTTGCCCTGGAAGTGACATACCATCCAGTTTCCAAATTTGTTAAAATGGAATCAGAAGAAGATAAAACTTAAGATCCACATAGTGGCCAAAGCCACCTAATGCTTATACTGACTTCTAGTAGTGGTAGTGGCTCTGAGCAGCCCTGTCAGTGGCTACTATTTAGATGGCAGTCTTTTTAGATTTTGATTCAGGAAAGATGGTGAGTTTGTATAGAGATGTAATTAGTTTTAAGAAGTGCTTATGGCTGGGCGCTGTGGCTCATGCCTGTAATCCCAGCACTTTGGGAGGCTGAAGTGGGTGGATCAATTGAGCCCAGGAGTTCAAGACCAGCCTGGGCAACGTTATGAAACCCTGTCTCTACAAAATATACAAAAATTAGCTGGGTGTGGTGGCCCTCACCAGTGGTCCCAGCTACTTGGGAGGCTGAGGTGGGAGGATGACTTGAGCCCAGGAGGAGAGGTGAGTGATGCCGTGAGTGGTGCAGTGAGCCGAGAATTGCACCACTGTCCTTTAGCCTGGACGACAGAGCCAGACCCTGTCTCAAAACAAAACAAAACAAAAAGAAGTGATTGAACTTACTGCTGATAGTAGCAATATTTTATCTCATATTCTAAAAGCAACTTGATGCCCATGAGGGTCTGGAAATCTGTATGGTAGAGTACAAAATGATGACTTTGCTGTAGAGCCATCAAATCAGAGGAAGTGAGACTATGTAAATGAAATCCCTAAGTAGGACTGTTCACTGTAGGTGGATAGCGCTGTTTTACTGTTTTAAGCCATATAAATGGCAAGAAATCTATGTCTTCTCTTGGAAAGCTGTTTCTGGCTGATGTCTATTAATTATAGGTGTTTTAGTTCCTGAAATTTTGCTTTAATAAATTAATTTCCTTCAGTATAGAAATTGAAATTCTCCAGTTGTGAAAGGCTATATCTAATAACCTCAGAGATGACAGTTCTGCACATGAGAAACTCCAAGACGTGTGAAGTAATTTGGTGGGTGAAGTAGCTGAACACTAGCAGCAATACTAGGTTTTATGGGAAGAGACAAACCTAAAGGCATTTAAAAAATGAATCAGATAATGACATATAACCTCAATAGGACCCTTAACACCGTTTTGTTGTTGTTGTTGTTGTTCTTTTTGTTCCCTGGTTCTTTTTTTGAGTGATCTTTAATTTCCTAAAACAGAAGATTCGTTGTCTAATAGGAAATTTATATCAGATTTGTAATATTTTTTGGCCAGTTTAGTAATTTTTGCTTTCCACAGTATGTTTGAATCTGTTGAAAAAATAATCTATTTTATACTTCTGAGATAGTAATGTTAAATACTAAATGTTAATGTTATTCAGTGCACCACTTTTTGTTTAAAGAGGTCTCAAACAGTCCATGGCAAGGCAATAAAAAATATTTAATAAGACTTTATGTTGAAATAAACAAAATTAAAGTAATGGGATTTGGCCGGACGTGGTGGCTCACACCTGTAATCCCAGCACTTTGAGAGACTGAGATGGGCAGATCATTTGAGGCCAGGAGTTTGAGACCAGCCTGGCCAACATGATGAAACCTTGTCTCTACTAAAAATACAAAAATTAGCTGTTTATAGTGACACACGCCTGTAATCCCAGCTACCTGGGAGGCTGAGGCAGGAGAATTGCTTGAACATGGGAGGCAGAGGTTGCAGTGAGGCCAAGATTGTGCCACTGCACTCCAGGCTGGGTGACAGAGCGAGACCCTGTCTCAAAAAAAAAAAGCGGGGGCGGGGGGGAGATTTGACTTGTGTACAAAATTGTGATCATTTAAGATGCATGTAATTAGAGGAAGAAATTAAAGCTTACAGCATTGTAATGCCAGTTCAGGTATTTCTGAAGTGTGACAAGTTGCAGTATCCATTTTATTTATTTTATTTTGAGACAGAGCCTTACTCTGTTACCCGGGCTGCAGTGCAATGGCACGATCTTGGCTCACTGCAACCTCCGCCTCCCGAGTTCAAGTGATTCTCCTGCCTCAGCCTCCTCAGTAGTTGGGATTACAGGCGCCCACCACTATGCCCGGTGAATTTTTGTATTTTTAGTAGAGACGGGGTTTTGCCATGTTGGCCAGGCTGGTCTTGAACTCCTGACCTCAAGTGATTCACCGACCTTGTCCTCTCAACCAGTATCCGTTTTAAAGCAATTTATGTCAAACCATCTGATTCTCAGTCATATGATCCATAACAAAGTCATTCATTTTGTTGATTTTATAAACATTAGATCTTTAGGTATTGTATACCATTTCACAGCTCCCAGTTTGTACAGAATATATGAAATGCTGGGAATCTTTAAAAATCTCATCTGGCTGGTCATGGTGGCTCATGCCTGTAATCCCAGCAGTGTGGGAGGCCGAGGTGGGTGGATATCCTAAGGTCAGCAGTTCGAGACCAGCCTGGCCAACATGGGGAAACCCCATCTCTACTAAAAATACAAAAATTAGCCGGGCATGGTGGCATGCGCTTGTAGTCCCAGCTACCCGGGAGGCTGAGACAGGAGAATTGCTTGAACCTGGGAGGTAGAAGTTGCAGTGAGCTGAGATCACGCCACTGCACTCCAGCCTGGGTGACAGAGCGAGACTTCATCTCCAAAAAAAAACAACAACAAAGCCATCTGGGGTATTGACATGTTGTTTGAAGTTTTGAGGTTTCAGATGTCTCAGAGATGAAATAGATAACAGATTACTTTAAATAATTTTGTTAAAATAATGACTGGAAATACGTGCTTTTTTTTGTTTGTTTTTTGTTTTTTGAGATGGAGTCTCGCTCTGTTGCCCAGGCTGGAGTGCAGTGGCGCAATCTTGGCTCACTGCAAGCTCTGCCTCCCGGGTTCGAGCAATTCTCCTGCCTCAACCTCCCGAGTAGCTGGGAATACAGGTGCACGCCACCACTCCTGGCTAATTTTTGTATTTTTAGTAGAGACGAGGTTTCACCATGTTGGCCAGGCTGGTCTCAAACTCCTGACTTTAAGTGATCAGCCCACCTCGGCCTCCCAAAGTTCCAGGATTACAGGTGTGAGCCACCGCACCCGGCCACAGTTTTTAAAATACCTTTACTACTCGTTACTTCTAGTGTAGTTGAAGTGTAGAAGGTAGTGTTGCTGCTGAAGGCGCCCGCCTTCCGTTCCTGGGATGCTGTAACAAATACCATAAACTGGGTGGTTTAAAGTAACAGAAATGTATTCTCTCACACCTCAGGAATCTAAAGATCTGAAATCAAGGTGGGGCGGGACCATCTTCCTCAAGCCTCTAGGGAACATCTTTCTTTGCCTCTTCAGCAGTGTAGCAGCCCCAGGTGTTCCTTGGCCTGCGGCGGCATAACTCCATTCTCTGCCTCCTCTTCACATGGTGCTCTCCCTGTGCGTCTGTGTCTCCTTTTCTCATAAGGACACCAGTCGTATTGGATTAAGGTCCTGTCGTGTCCAGTATGACCTCATCTTCACTAGTAATATCTTTATTCGCCCTGTTTCCAAATAAGGTCATATCCTGAGGCACTAATGACTAATATATCTTTTGGGGGATACAACTCATAATGGTGCAGAAGAGTGATTATCTTGTTTTTCTTTTGCAGGCAATGGCTTTGTAAATAGAGTTATTTAGATTTGAGTGAGATGGATTTATTGGGTCCTCAATACTTCTGTAAAATATAGAAGAAATAGCCTCTTGCTATGGGTGATGAAGGGCGAGCAATCTCTAAAATTGATGCTATACAAGAAATAAAGATCAACTCTGTGAAAGGCACTGTTATACATGCTGAGGGATATATGGATTGCTAAGACACGATTCCTGTTCTATGAGAAGTTATAGTTTGACATAATCCAGACTTTGTACTCCCAAAATAAATCTAAATGAAGTACCACTGATAGTCTCTATTCTTTTCTTCTTCGATGTAAATAGCTAAACAGTTTCAAGAACATCAAGAATTTATATGAGAATCCTTAAAATACATAACATTGATCTTTGGTGCATCAACTTTCATGTTCAAAGTCTTGTTCTCAGAATGTGCAGTTTAGGATTTCCCTAAAGATGTTTTGGAATCTGTGTCCCTTGTGTTATGGTTTATATATATGATGGCTGTGGGGATCCTTTCTTGGTGAATCTGAAGAGATTAAACATATGAATTGTCCTTGAAAATAATAGAAGATTGTTTTTATTTTATGTTTGATAAAGGTGATTGCTAAAATCTCAATTTTGCAAAATACTGTTAATCTTCAAAGACAAAATGTTGTGGCACTCCACTAAGCTACTGTATATTGTATGTTTATCTGTAGGGAGTTCAGAGTGCCTTACATTCATGGCCCCTGAAAGGGGTAGAAATGAGCTAAAGATGTTTACCAGTTTTTTAATTGGGAAATTCATGCTCAGTGAAGGTAAATGTTTTCTCCAGAAGAAATACTGTGATTTTACTTAAGGATTCTGTGTCTCAACCCAGATTTCTTTCAAGCCATGAATGATATATACAGTTGTCTCTTGTGGGGAATTGGTTACAGGACCTCCCTCAGATACCGAAATCCATGAATGCTCAAGTCCCTGATACAAAATGTGTAGTATTTGCATATAACCTATGCATATCCTCCCATATACTTTCAATCACCTCTGGATTACCTATAATACCTAATAAATGTAAATGCTGTGTAAATAATTGTCATATTGTTTATGGAATAATAACAAGGGAAAAAGTTTGTACATATTCAGTATAGGTGCAGCCATCCTTTTTTTTCCCCCTATATTTTCAATCTGCAGTTGGTTGAATCCATAGATGTGGAGAGCCAACCTTATATATGTTCTGCAAGTAGAGATGAGGAGGTCTAGCTAATGATAATCAAAAAGAATTTTCAGGCAAACAGAAAATTCTTGAATTATAATTTTCATTTTGTTGTTCAATTGATGTCTAATCAGTGACCTGGCTCATCCTGAAGCCAAGGGCATAGTATTATCAAGTGACTGGTTGTTGCTTTGTAATACTCTGATTAGGTTAATCTTGCATACAGCATTGCCCTTCCAGATATGTGCAAATAAGCTGTATTGTGGGTATCTACCCTAGAGTAATCTTGGTTTTCTGCTTGTCGTTCTTCCACGAAAGACACTGTACTAAATCTGGAAAAGATCTGAAAACAGTGTTCAGGGAAGAGGGTAGAGCAACTTCCATTTGAGAGTAGGTTTTAAAAAATTAGATTCTGCCAGGCATGGTGGCTCACACTTGTAATCCCAGCACTTTGGGAGGCCGAGGTGGGTGGATCACTTGAAGTCAGGAGTTTGAGACCAGCCTAGTCAACATGATGAAACCCCGTCTCTACTAAAACAATATAAAAATTAGCTGGGCATGGTGGTGCACACCTGTAATCCCAGCTATTAGGGAGGCTGAGGCACAAGAATCACTTGAACCTGGGAGATGGAGCTTGCAGTGAGCCAAGATTGTACCACTGCACTCCAGCCTGGGCAACAGAGTGAGACTCTGTCTCAAAAAAAAGATTTTATTATTCCACAAAAATGAAGGTTGCTTCCACAAAAGAGAATGAGAGGAAAAGCACAGTAGAGGGAGAAGGAGAAGGGAGCTATCATTTGACTGTCAATTATGATGGGTGACTTAAAGACTAGCCTGTTAAATGGTTAATCTCCAATTTTGTTTATTTTTATATACCAAGTCTGTAAACCTTAATATCTGTTAGGTGGTAGGATACATGAGAGAAAGTGTTTTTTGTTTTTTTTTTAATGGAGTTTTTATTGGTCCCTAATTTGTAAACTAGTTAATCACAGAAAAATTTGACATCTTCTTAGGAAATACTCTAATGGTAATGGTGTTAGCTTAACTGCCGCTGTAAAATATGTTTTATGCTAATTCATTTTGTTCCCTATTCCCTAAGGAGTTCTTACTAGTTGAAGACTTTATTGTGCTTTCTCTGAATGTATTTGTCTTTTAAAAACTTAATTTAGGTGTCACTGTATCAGTGGGCGGGGTTGATGTGTAGAGTAGTAATGGCTCCCTTAGACTAGAATAAAGGATAGATCTTAAAAGAAAATCTCGTTTACTTTCTTTAGCATCCTACAAACTTGGTATCTTTTCACACAAAACGGAGAAGCTTTCATCCAAAGAAAAATAAAAAAGAACTTGGAACATTTTACAACTTTTAAAATACAATTTTTACTTTTAATGGGTTCAGATCAGAGAATTGTTTTCTTAGCTGTTAAAAAGGAATCAGAAAATTGTTCCTTTTGAATCAGAAAATAAGGTCACAATAGAAATTTGATACGTTCCTTCCTGCCCACTCTGAAAATAGTAATAACTAGTGTCTTAAAGCACAGACTCATTCCCAGAAAACATCTATCACCGATTATTTGGCCCTTCCAATCTGAAGTTAAAATCAGATCTCTTCTTGACTTAAAGGGGCTTATTTTTTCTGAAATTGGATACACAAATGACAAATTATGTGCGTTCCATAGCTGTGGTAAAACTTTTGACCCTCTTTGTGCAACATCTTTTATATTTCTAGGCAACAGGAAAGGATAAATTCACAGAGGGAAGAGATAGAAAGACAACGGAAAATGTTAGCAAAGCGGAAACCTCCTGCCATGGGTCAGGCCCCCCCTGCAACCAATGAGCAGAAACAGCGGAAAAGCAAGACCAATGGAGCTGAAAATGAAACGTATGTTCTTTATTGACGTGAACGCTGAGACACCACACCACACCCCCAAATACAAACGTCCTGTTGATTGCCACCGGCAATAGTTGTAAATTCTGGAGTTCACTCAGGTTTAAACCTTCTTTTCAGTTACATTAATGGATTTGCTCAACTCGTATAAATGCCATATAAAATTAATTGATTTTCTTAAAGCTGCTCTTTATTTAGGGCATTTTGAATGAGAGGGAAAAGTAATGTCACTTGACATCATGTCTTTTGGCCACTCCTGGTTAACAAATAAGACATCATTGTACTGAAATGATATTATTGCTTACATGTGGCTCCAGGTTGTGGTATACTAGTCGTCTTATGGGAGTTACCTGGCTGCTATTTCAAACAGAAGAATGCTCTTTACTGGTCAAAAGAGCACTTCGTTAATAGTCGCAAACTTAGGATAAGCGCCCCGAAAACCTGTTATGTTAGAAAAGGATATTGTCCCAATAAGCCACAACTTGATCTCATCAGAATTGTTTCCTGTTCTGGGAATATAAGGAAAACACCAGTATCTTAAACTGCAGTATAGTCATCTTTTTCTTTGTCACTCAACAATATTTACATAGCTACCATGTATAGGAGTAGAAAATTCTAAGCACAAATGTCTGCCTTCTCCATTCATTTCTTCCTTTCTCTTTAACTGAAAGTAAGTTTCATATCCAAAGATAGCTTCAAAGAAAATGTATGTCATATAACTTATCAACTAATATGTCATTTGTTTTATGTTTTCATATTAGTTCACAAAAACAACACATAATCCACTTCAGGTATAATAATACTTGTATTACATTATTGTTAAAAGTCTGTGGCATCCTAGAAATGCATCTTCTTTCATTCTACTGAGAAACATGGCTTAACACCAATCCTCACCCCATACGTATCTGATGTTTTGGGAAGTCTTGTCCTTGATATTCGTTTAGTAAGTCTGTGTTAAATGCTTATTTTATGCTAGGCCCCTTCTGGGAATACAGAGCTAAAGGATACAGCCCCAGCCTTAGGAGCCCACAATTTACTTAGGTGAGATGAACAGACGAATAAACTAATACTTACATTAAGTATAGCGATAAAAATGTGCGTAATGAACTTGGAAAACATCTTCACTCATATAACTCCAAATAGTTTTTTTTTTTTTTTTTTTTAAAGACGAAGTCTCACTCTGTCACCCAGGCCAGAGTGCAGTGGTGCTATCTCGGCTCACTGCAACCTCCGTGTTCCGGGTTCAAATGATTCTCCTGCCTCAGCCTCCTGAGTAGCTGGGACTACAGGCGTGCGTCACCATGCCCAGCTAGTTTTTGTATTTTTAGTAGAGATGGAGTTTCTCCATGTTGGCCAGGCTGGTCTCGAACTCCTGACCTCAAATGATCCACCCACCTCGGCCTCCCAAAGTGCTGGGATTACAAGCACGAGCTACTGAACCCAGCTCAAATGTTATAAAACATTTTCCCCTTGATTTTAAAGACTAGTCAAGTGCAATAATCAGAATGAGAAGAGGGGAAGAGTATAGAGTCTTAAATATAAAGTATTTTCCTTTCAGCAAGTCCGAGTAGGGGCTCAGATTTGAAAGATTGTCCAGGCTAATTAATCTGACCAAGGTTTTCTTTCATGATTCCTGTGTTTATTTTGTGAAGGGACTTTCCCTCTAGTATTATTTGAAAATTATTTAATGCTAATGCACAAAACCATTCGCTTAGGAGTGCTAAAGAAGGCATAGGTTGTTTCTTTGCCACAGAACAATAATTAGAATTCTATCTAGGCTAGTAATGTGTAAGCAGTTGCCATCTGGAGTCCTGTGTAAAATCCAATCCAGAAGGCTTTCAGTCCAGTTTTTAATTATAGTATCTGTGAATTGGCTCTTACTTTGACCAGAAGCCAGAAGTAGGCCTCTGGAGTCTTGGAGTGAGTCATATTACCCTTCCTTGGCCCTGAACCTGTTTCAGACAGAGAATTCTTAGCCATCATTTTTTATTTATCTGTTTTTTGCTGGTGTGGAATGGAGTAGTAGATACAAGTATTTCTACATCTGTAAAGAGATAGCCCTAGTAGGTGAGTTTCTTCTTCTTTCTATTTTTTCTTGAGTTAGACCTCAAAGGCTCTGTTCTGGTTGATAGGATAGATATTTCCTCTTTCTTCTGCTATTTAGAATATATCTAAACAGTGGTATCTAAAAATGTTAAATATCTGTATATGCTTCTAGAATGCGAAAAAGGTAGAGATGGAAGAAAAAAATAATTCTCACTTGTTCATCTTTTTTTATTTTCTTTCTTTCTTTTTTCTTTTTTTAAGAGACAGAGTCTTGCTCTGTTTCTCGCGGTAGAGTGCAGTGACATGATTATAGCACGCTATAGCCTCAACCTCCTGGGCTCAAGCAATCCTTCCATCTCAGCCTCCTGAGTAGCTGGGACTACAGGCATGTGTCGCCATGCCCAACTTCTTTCTTCTTTTTTTCACAGAGACGGAGTGTTGCTTTGTTGCCCAGGCTAGTCTCAAACTCCTGGCTCCAAGTCCTTCCCCCTCAGCCTCCCAGAGTACTGGGATTACAGTGAGCCACCCAGCCTGGCCACTTGTTCATTCTTGAGATATAAGGATGCTGTTGGAGTAGGTGGAACATGAAACACGTGAATACCCATCAAGTCAGCCCTTTGAGAGTTGATTTAAATAGCATTTTCAATATTCTGTGTACATTGTCATGTAAGCCGCAACGCTTTCTTAGATAGGTATTATCACTTGCTGCATTTCAGGAAACTGAGTTAAGAGGTTAAAGTTGCTTGCCCAAGGTCACATCGCCAGCGGCTTAGTAGTGCTTTAAACCCTAGTCCTCAGACTCCAAATCCTAGACTCTAATTTGCTGCTATATCTTTCTCTTTGTTATTACACTATCAAGGTTTAAGTGTTAACAAGAATAATAAAATCCATTGGCTTATTGTTATGCCCTCTAAAAGATTTTTAGACAATTTTTGGCTCTCTCTGAATGAATTTTCATCTGAGTAATATATGGGACAAAACTCACTTCAAAAATAATATAAAAATATGGCTCACTTATTTTTTTTTTTATGTTTTGCAAATTAGACTTTTGGCTTTGAAGTTCTTCCCTCACATATCTGGTAAATCACAGAAGTTTTCTCTTGTCAGAGGACTACAAGATAACCTGTCTTTCAGTCATTTTAACTGAGACTGAAACTGCATATGTCTTATAGTATATTTGAGCATTTCTCTTTAAATAAGCAAACTATGATTTCTAGTAGTTTACTGAAACTTACCACTGTTTTTCAGGTTAACATTAGCAGAATACCATGAACAAGAAGAAATCTTCAAACTCAGATTAGGTCATCTTAAAAAGGTAAGTGTAATGAGAAAATCTCCCTGGAGAAATGTGATACCTAGTTTACATTTGGGGTTGAAGCTCTCTGGTCATAGTAGCTGCACATAGCAGCAGAAAGCTTGAGTGACTGCTTTCATGTCATGTCTTGTAGCCTAATGGTAGAACTCATATTTTTCCATTTTCTTTTCTTTTTTTTTTTTTTTTGCGATGGAGTCTTACTCTGTCTCCCAGGCTGGAGTGCAGTGGCACGATCCTGGCTCACTGCAACCTCCACCTCCTGGGCTCAAGCGATTCTCGTGCCTCAGCCTCCCAAGTAGCTGGGATTACAGGCATATGCCACCACACTCAGCTCATTTTTGTATTTTCAGTAGAGACGAGGTCTCACCATGTTGGCTAGGCTGGTCTCGAACTCCTGACCTCAAGTAATCTGCCTGCCTCAGCCTTCCAAAGTGCTGGGATTACAGGTTACAGGTGTGAGCCACCATGCCTGGCCTATCTTTCCATTTTCAAGTCAATTCCAGCAACCCAATAAGAGTGGTTTTTTTTCCCCAGTGATCTGTGAGCAGATAATTCTGTATGCATCATAAGGCTTCCCAAGTGGTTATCTTTGGAGTAAAATTTTAATATATAATAAGAGCAGATGATTTTGAAATTGACGTGAAGATTTTAAATCATATTTTAAATCACGTAGCAGCTCTTATTCCTTGCCTAAACTAGCTCAAAAGAGAAAGTCTTACGCCAAATCTTATTCAAACACAAAGGCACATAATATAGAATTTGTTATTGATGATATTCACTGAGATATCTTAGATGTAGATTGCTCAGCTCTTAAAATTCAGAAGCCCATACATTGGTCAATGCTGTTTATGGGTGATAATGGTCAGTAAGGATTTACTGAACTGCTTTTGGTATGTGTGCTTTTATTTTTTATTTCACATATTAGTTTTCATGCTGTTTTCCCACTGGGTTCTCAGAGCTTATTAAATAAGTAGAACTTGCTGGGCATGGTGGCTCACACCTGTAATCCCAGCACTTTGGGAGGCTGAGGTGGGTGGATCACCTGAGGTGAGGAGTTCGAGACCAGCCTGCCCAGCATAGTGAAACCCCATCTCTACTAAAAATACAAAAAATTAGCTGGGTATGGTGGCGTGTGCCTGTAATCCCAACTACTCGGGAGGCTGAGGCAGGAGAATCGCTTGCACCTGGGAGGCAGAGGTTGCAGTGAGCCGGGATCGCGCCACTGCACTCCAGCCTGGGCGACAACAGTGAAACTCTGTCTCAAAAAATAAAACATAAAAATAAGTAGAACTTAAGGCACCAAGTGTAATCCACACTTAAAGACGAGAACTGGATAGATAACCTGATTTTTGTAAAAAATGTTTCCATGTCTGTGTATATATGCACAAAACATTCCTGGAAACTTGTGTAAGAAACTTAATAGTGGTTACATCTCAGGAGTGGGCATGGAGAGGAGGGAGGAAGAGGGTAGAGAACTTTTACTTTTCTCACTGAACTCCTCTGTATGGTTTGAATTTTATTATTTTCTATGGGCTAATTTTTATGATTAAAATTCTTATCGCTTAAAAAGAAATCTTTCAATGCAAAGCACCTTCCTCTAGCCTTTCATAAGATAAATGTCTGCTATTGTTTTTGAAATAAGATCCCTGTGCTATTTCTTTCCTTTTCGCTTTAGGAGGAAGCAGAGATCCAGGCAGAGCTGGAGAGGCTAGAAAGGGTTAGAAATCTACATATCAGGGAACTAAAAAGGATACATAATGAAGATAATTCACAGTAAGCTACTTGGGGGTACATTGGGTTGGAGATTGCTAAGCATTTTATGTTATGAATTGAATGGTCTAGAATAATGTGTTTGCTTAATGTAAGTTACATAAATGATTCCATAGTGTATTTAGCTCTTTTGTAGCATCTAATACAATTTTGTAAACAAAATTATGATTTGCCTTGGTTTAAATATACAGTTGTATTAAATTTATATATTAAGTACATATGTGTATACGTAGAGCATTTTTACATGAGTAGAGATTACTAAAACAATATGGCTTCGTAATTGTAAATGGTTGAGATATGTGGCATGTTCAGATTTCCCTACAGAGCCTTAAGAAAGGGAAGATGGGTCACCGTGTGGTGTTGTGGAAAGAGTATTGGGTTGAGATGACACTCAGTTTCTGAATGACCTTTAAGGGCCATTCAGGTGTTGACATTTTAAGTAAGACTCTTAAGTTCAGTACATTAATTGTAGATGAATTGAAACTGGGCAAAGTAGGTTGAAAGTAGAAAGCGGCTTTTATAAGTAATCTGTTTTTTCCCCATTTTTTTTTGGACCCTGAAACATTTTTTCATAAAGCCACAGCTTGTGTATTTTTGTTTGGCTTATACGAGCTTTGGACCTTTCTTTCTGTTAAAGTGGCAGACAACAGCAGGTACCACTTTGTGAGAACTCTCTGTGTATCAGGCCTGGTCCTAAGTGCCCTTAGTGCTCTCATTTAATCCGCAGGATAACCCAGTCATCTTTAATACATCAATCAGAAAACAAGCTTAGAGAAAGTAAATTAACTTGACCAGGGACTCATAAATAATGTGACCAAAGAGTTAAACTTGGATCTTTTTCATCCAAACCACTGTGCAGTAATGTCTCTCCAAATAGGCATGCTACTTTCTTAGAATCCATGTAAAGTAATTTCAGAATTAATAGTCAGATTGTGTAAGATCAGGAACTAGGTACAAATATTTTTAAATTTGTTTTTGCCAGAATTTGTCATTTCTTTATCATATTACTAAGAAACTACCCAAGAGAATCTAATATAGGGAACACAGTTATATCTGTCTTAAAGAGAGAATAATGAATGCACATAGAACATGTGACTCACTTTATAATCAAATCTGTTTTTAAGGAAATAGCAAGTGTCTTGGAATTTTACTGTATGTATTTTTGAAATGGTGAGAACATGTGGCCCTTGAACAGTTTGGAGGAGCCAAATAGCACAATTTAAAAATCTCTGGTCTACTCTAATCTACCCTCCCTCATTGTATAGCAGGACAGAAAAAAGCAGGAGGAGCAAGAAAGGTCTAGTGTAGCTACTCTGAGACCAGCACCCAAGTCCTGTGGCTCTGCAGCTAGTGCTGTTCATTGTAATTACACTGCCTCTTTGAACTGGGTAGCTTTATACTCAGTATTTGCCATGTTGGTGTTGATTGTCAAACTACCAACAGTAGCTATAATTGTATGTATAATGTGTTAGATATTCTGGGAATTTGGCAAGCGTGGAAGACTGTAGTCCATGATCTCAGGGTGTTCCATGTTTCCTGTTTCCACAGATTTAAAGATCATCCAACGCTAAATGACAGATATTTGTTGTTACATCTTTTGGGTAGAGGAGGTTTCAGTGAAGTTTACAAGGTAAGTATAAGGAACTGGATACAAAGACTGGGAGTTAAATTATCGGCTCTTACCAACTTGGAGAACATTAAAAATACTGATAATTATAGGTTGGTATCCATTGGTTGAAATTCAAAAACTTTAAAAACCTGTGTCTTTGGGAAAACAGCTTTTAACCCTAAGTGACCAAGCAGAATACAGTATTGTCATTTTCAAGTTTGAAAAATAAATAATTATAAATTTAAAAAACAAGAAGGAAGTATACTGGGTGGTGGAATTATGATGATTTTTATTCTGGTTCTGTACTTTCTGCCTCATATTTGTTAGAAAAGAGTATGTGCTATCTTTATTTCTTGTACAGAATAGATGTGTCAAACCTATTTCCAATAAGAATAGATTTTTTAAAATTGGAAAACCAGCTTTTTGTTTTAGAAGTGTTCTAATATCATTTACTAGCACTGGAAGTCTGAAAGAGGGTTCTGGCTTAGAGTGCTTCAGTTGGGCCAGCGAAGTACAGGCTGCTGAGCCTCCAGGTTGATTTTTACCAAATGAGGGATTCAGTATGTTTTAAATATAGCTACAGATCCATAACGTGGATTTAATTTTTCTACATGTTTCTGGCACCTGTCTGTAAAGTATAGAATTGTTTATTAAGTAGTCTTTGTTGCACAGCTGTACCTTTCAGATGTACAGCTTTAACTGTTAGGATTTATGTTATGCCCGTATGAATTTATATATGGGAAATCTTTTTAGTAAAATAGTTTTCATTGCAAATAAAAATGTTAAAACTAGTTCTGCCGTTTTCTTTCTAATTTTTTTTAAATTGCGGTTTTATTTATTTATTTATTTTAGAGACAGGGTCTTGCTCTGTTGCCCAGGCTGGAGTGAGGTAACACGATCATAGTTCATTGCAGCCTCAGACTGCTGGGCACAAGCAAGCCTCCTGCCTCAACCTCTTGAGTAGCTGGGACCACAGGCCCAGTGCACTAATTTTTAAATATTTTGTAGAGATAGGGTCTTGCTACATTGCCCAGGCAGGTCTCAACTTAGGGGCTCAAGCAGTCCTCCTGCCTTGGCGTCCCAGGGTGCTGAGATTACAGGTGTGAGCCACTGCACCCCACTGTGATTTTACTAAGTATATGTTTCAGTGGTATTAAGGACTTTTACAGTGTGTGCAACTGACATCACTACATCACTGTTCATCTCCAGAACTGTATTACGATTAGTGCACTACCGTACTGGTTTTGATATTCTAGTGCCTTTTTTTTTTTTGGAGACATTGTCTCACTCTGACACCCAGGCTAGAGTGCAGCAGTGCAGTCTCGGCTCACTGCAACCTCCCACTCCAGAGCTCAAGTGTCCTCCCATCTCAGCCTCCCAAAGTGCTGGGGTTACAGGCATGAGCCACTGCACCTGGCTTCTAGTATCTTATTTGTATTTTTTAATCTGTGCTTATAAGTATGATTGGCCCATAGTCACCTTTTGTATGCAAGCAGCTTTGTCAAAATTTGATGTCATAATTATCCTAGCTCGTTAGATAGAGTTGTGAAGTCTCTTTTTTCCATGCTCTGGAACCCTTTTCATCACTTGGGAATTGTTGGCTCCTTAGAGTTGACTCATAAAAACTTCTCGGGCAGACCAGACTCAGCAGCTCATGTCTATAATCCCAGCACTCTGGGAGCCGAGGCGGGAGGATCACTTGAGCCCAGGAGTTTGAAACCAGCCTGGGCAACATAGCAAGACCATGCCTCTACAAAGAAAGAAAAGAAAAATCACCTGGGAGATGTTGAGTTAGTGGAAAACATTTGGCTGTCTTTTCAGTTTCTTCTACAACTATTGATATATTCAGATTTTCTCTCTCTTAAGTCAGTTTTGGTAATTTAATTTTTCTAGGAAATCTATTTCGTTTATATATTTTCTCTTTTTTAATAGAGACAGGGTTTCACTGTGCTGTCTAAGCTGGTCTCAAACTTCTAGCCTGAAGTGATCTTCACCCCTCAGTCTTCCAAGTGCTGGGATTACCGCCACCATGCTTGGCCTAGAGTTTTAAAAAATATTTTCCACTGGCTGGGCACGGTGGCTCATGCCTGTAATCCCAGCACTTTGGGAGGCCAAGACAGGTGGATCATGAGGTCAGGAGATCAAGACCATCCTGGCTAACACGGTGAAACCCCGTCTCTACTAAAAATACAAAAAATTAGCCGGGCGTGGTGGCAGGCACCTGTAGTCCCAGCTACTTGGGAGGCTGAGGCAGGAGAATGGCATGAACCCGGGAGGCAGAGCTTACAGGGAGCCTAGATCCGGCCACTGCATTCCAGCCTGGGCGACAGAGCGAGACTCATCTCAAAAAAAAAAAAAGATAGATATTCCACATCCTAGTTACTTCTCTGTTCTTGTAAAATTTTTATTTTTGTGTTTCTTGATTGATAGGCTAGAGATTAGTCAGTGTTGTTATTATTTTTTCCTAAGAATCAACTTTTTTGTTGATGAAATCTGCTACTTTGTTAGTTTTCAATTTCATTAATGTCTGCTTTCATTCTTTCTGCTTTCTTCATTTTTATTTATGTTCATTCTTAATTCTTAGTTTATTTTCTTTGTAATTTTTTATCATAAAAAGATAGATATAAAATTTACCATCTTAACCATTTTTAAGTGTATAGTTCAGTAAAGTACATTCACGTTTTTGTGAAATAGATCTCAAACTTTTTTTCATCTTCCAAAACTGAAACTCTGTAGCCATTAACCAACTTTCCTTTCCCCCTCCTCCTCATCCTTGGAACCATTTTACATTCTGTTACTCTGAATTTGACTATGTTTAGATTTCTTACAGAAGTGGAATCATGTTACATCTTTTCATAATCAGCTTATTTTACCTAGCATAATGTCCTCAAGGTTCATCTATGCTATAGCATGTAACAGGATTGGCTTCCTTTTTAAGGTCACTTAATATTTTATTGTATGTACCACATTTTGTTTATCCTCCTCTGTTGATGGACACTTGGGTTGCTTCCATCTCTTACCTATTGTATATAGTGCTGTTGTTTTTGTTTTTGGTTTGTTTGTTTGTTTTGAGACAGTCTTGCTCTGTCGCCCAGGCTGGAGTGCAGTGGTGCAGTCTTGGCTCACTGCAACCTCCGTCTCCTGGGTTCAAGTGATTTTCCTGCCTCAGCCTCCCCCAGTAGCTGGGATTACAAGTGTGTACCACCATGCCACCTAATTTTTTTGTATTTTTAGTAGAGGTGGGATTTCACTGTGTTGGCCAGGCCAGTCTCGAACTCCTGATCTTAAGTGATCCGCTCACCTCTGCCTCCCAAAGTGCTGGGATTATAGGCATGAGCCACCGCGCCCAGCCTGTAGTTCTGTTTTGAATTTGGGTGTCCAAATATCTCTATGAGACTCTGCTTTCAATTCTTTTGGATATATACCTAGAAGTGTATGTAATTTTGAAACATCAAAATTGGTTCTTGGTGCCTCCTGGTTACTTTTAGTAATTTCATCATCGTATTTTTTCCTAATGTATTTCTTCAAACATTTTATTTCTTTTTCTCTTGAGACGGAGTCTCACTCTATCGTCCAGGCTGCAGTGCAATGGCGTGATCTTGGCTCACTGCTGCAACCTCTGCCTCCCAGGTTCAAGTGATTCTCCTGCTTCAGCCTCCCGAGTAGCTGGGATTATAGGCACCCGCCACCACACCTGGATAATTTTTGTATTTTTTTAGTAGAGATGGGGTTTTACTATATTGGCTAGGATGGTCTCAAATTCCTGACCTCGTGATCTGCCCTCCTTAGCCTCCCAAAGTGCTGGGATTACAGATGTGAGCCACCATGCTCAGCCCCACACATTTTATTTCTGAGATCTAAATACTTCTTGCAGTGATGTGTGCATTTAGTTTTTCTTTCGCTGTTCTCCACTCTCGTTCTCCACTCTCCAAAATCCTTTCTTAAGTCAGTGGTAGGTCACAGTGTCTTGGATTTAGAAGTACAGTGTAGTTAGAGAAAATTATGCTTGAAATAGCATTGGTACTCTTACAAATTGGGTGGTATTTACTGTTTTTAAAAAATTATTTGAAATGATTTTCTGGTGTGAAGCCATGATGGTATTCATGATTGTGGATGGACTGAAGATTCTGTAAGAAAAAAGTTCAAAAGTTTCCGTTTTTGGCCGGGCATGGCCTCTACTGCCTCTAACCCAATAACGGGTTATTTTCTCCAGGAGGCAGGCAGTGTGTGTCCCTAGAATTTCAAAAGTGGCAGGATGTTTGATGTTTGAAGTTTGTAAAGTGTCAACTGAAGGACAAGAGACAACCTAAGGGAGATGGGTCCCAGATGGTAATAGATGGTGTCCAGAAAGAGAATGGATGGGAAATGATACTGAATACCAATACTTTGAGAGGCCAAGGTGGGAAGATTACTTGAGGCCAGGAGTTCAAAACCAGCCTGGCAAACACATTGAGGACTTGTCTAGATAAAAAAATTAAAAATATTGCCAGGCGCGGTGGCTCAAGCCTGTAATCCCAGCACTTTGGGAGGCCGAGACGGGCGGATCACGAGGTCAGGAGATCGAGACCATCCTGGCTGACACAGTGAAACCCTGTCTCTACTAAAAAATACAAAAACTTAGCCGGGCGAGGTGGCGGGCGCCTGTAGTCCCAGCTACTCGGGAGGCTGAGGCAGGAGAATGGCGTAAACCCAGGAGGTGGAGCTTGCAGTGAGCTGAGATCCGGCCACTGTACTCCAGCCTGGGCGACAGAGCGAGACTCCGTCTCAAAAATAAATAAAATAAAATAAAAAATATTGCAGTTTTTGTGAAGTAAGATATGTCTGAAGTGAGTGGTTTTTATACTTTAAACATACTGGTTTTAATTTGGTATAAATGATGGAAGTTTCTCTATAAGCAGCTCTCTCTACATGCAGTGCTTACCTAGAGAAACTTACGTTTAGAAATATCTGTAAAGTAGTGATCACCCTATTTATGGACTGTTTTCTGCACTTGTTGCCTTCATGTATTTGTATATTTGTGGAAATTAGCAGATGGGTGATAACAGTGTTGAAACTGAAATGGTAAGCTTTTAATCTGAACTTTACAAGCTAAGAAAAATTATTCTAAAGGAGCTATGCAATAAATTCTTTTTTTTTTTTTTTTTTTTTTTTTTTTTTTGAGACGGAGTCTCGCTCTGTCGCCCAGGCTGGAGTGCAGTGGCCGGATCTCAGCTCACTGCAAGTTCCGCCTCCCGGGTTCACGCCATTCTCCTGCCTCAGCCTCCCGAGTAGCTGGAACTACAGGCGCCCGCCACATCGCCCGGCTAGTTTTTTGTATTTTTTTTTTAGTAGAGACGGGGTTTCACCATGTTAGCCAGGATGGTCTCGATCTCCTGACCTCGTGATCCGCCCGTCTCGGCCTCCCAAAGTGCTGGGATTACAGGCTTGAGCCACCGCGCCCGGCCAAATTCTTTTGTTTGGAGGGAAATCTTCAATTCAATTGAAAGATTACTTTATCAAATAATGATTTACACCCAGCTTCCTCAAAACTCCATGTTACCTTTTTCACTGTGCTATAGCAAGCACTACCTAGCTGATGCAGGACTTGCCAGCAGTGGTGGCCTTTGGGGAAAGCCGGTTCCTACCTCTGGACAGTGCTGGAGAAGTGACTTGGTGTCACTAACTTCATCCATTGTTGGAATTAAAAACTACTTTTCGGCCCGGTGCAGTGGCTCACACCTGTAATCCCAGCACTTTGGGAGGCCGAGGCTGGCAGATCACCTGAGGGCTGGAGACCAGCCTGACCAACATGGTGAAAGTACAAAAATTAGCCAGGTTTGATGGTGCGTGCCTGTAATCCCAGTTACTCAGGAGGCTGAGGTAGAAGAATCACTTGAACCCGAGAGACAGGTTGCAGTGAGCTGAGATTGCACCGTTGCACTCCAGCCTGGGCGACAGAGCGAGACTCTGTCTCAAAAACAACAACAACAACAAAACCACTTTTTATTTGCCCAGCAGATAGAGATGGGACTAAAGGCAGGGCTGTTTTTTGGTCTTGTTTCTCTTTTTATTTTAATAAACAATATGCCAAATTACAGGGTTATTTTGTAAATAATCATGCCAAAGAAGTATATTGTGAGGGGTTATTTTCTCCAGGAGGCAGACAGTGTGTGTCCCTAGGATTTCAAAAGTGGCAGGATGTTTGAAGTTTGTAAAGTCCCAGTGTCAACTGAAGGACAAGAGCAACCTAAGAGAGACGGGTCCCAGACGGGGAGTAGATGGTGTCCAGAAAGAGCATGGTTGGGAAATGATTCTGAAGGCAGGGGCTATCTTTTTGTTTGTGGTGTTGGCCTGGTTTTATGTTCTAAACCCCTTGGTGCCAGTGTGTCTGGAGACTTCTAAATTATCTAATCACAAGTTTCAAGAAGATGGTTGCAAGACTGATACAAGTATGTGATATATTTAATAATGTATTTTGGACTTTGATTATGTTATATGTTAAAGGCTCACATCAGTTGCCTGTAATTCTTCTTAACATTTGCCCAGTGTATAATTTATTCTCTTTCTTTATAGGCATTTGATCTAACAGAGCAAAGATACGTAGCTGTGAAAATTCACCAGTTAAATAAAAACTGGAGAGATGAGAAAAAGGAGAATTACCACAAGTAAGTGATACTTGAGTGTCTGACTTTTTAAAATTAAATAATACCTGTAGTTTGAGCATTATGCTACAAGCTTTACATGCATTGTTGTTGGTTTTGTTTTATGTAATCTTCATAACTGCTCTAAGATAATAAATGTATTCTCAGTATTACAATGAGGAAACTGATGCTTACAGAATTGGAGTAACAGGAAGTGGCTGAGCTAGTATTTAAATCCAGATTTTCCTTAATCTAAAGCCCCAGTACCCTTAACCTTCCTTTCCTTTGTGGCTAGAAATAGCTGTAGTAAATAAAGCCTTCGAAATCATTGTTGCTGGCTGGGCATGGTGGCTTACGCCTGTAATCCCAGCTCTTTGGGAGGCTGAGGCAGTCTAATCACGAGGTCAGGAGATCGAGACCATCCTAGCTAACACAGTGAAACCCCGTCTCTACTAAAAATACAAAAAATTAGCTGGGCGTGGTGGTGGGCGCCTGTAGTCCCAGCTACTCAGGAGACTGAGGCAAGAGAATGGCGTGAACCCGGGAGGCAGAGCTTGCAGTGAGCTGAGATCTCGCCACTGTACTCCAGCCTAGGTGACAGAGCGAGTATGAGACTCCATCTCAAAAAAAAAAAAAAAAAGAAATCATGGTTGCTTGTCTGTAGAAACTAGACCCTAGGGAGCTGCTGGTGGGTTCTTTCTGCTACTCCAGTCATTTCCTTCTGGAAGAGACTGGGGGCACCTGGTGTGTCTTCGTGGCACCTGTTTGACTTGTTCAGCCTCTCTGTGCTATGTTCTCCTCCCTGTCGCAGTTTGCCCATCTCAAAGTTCTCGGTCTTCAGGGTCCCACTTTCTGTGCTTGCTTCTCTATAGAATAGTACTAGTGGCAGTCTTCATCTGTACTTGGGGTGGGGCATGGGGAGAGGGGGCTTCTTTAAAATGAATTGTTCTTATTTGCACAGCTGTGAATTGCTTTGATCCACTAATGTCAGGTTTTGCCTATGTCCCCCCAAGCTCCTGAACATTGGAGTTCATGGCTCATTTGCTTTAGAGGCTATGCAGACTTAATTTGCTATTAGGTTCCCCACTGGGCTTAGTTTTGTTTCCTTGCTGTTGGTACAAGTATTGAATCAGACAAGTCCTGCCCCTGAAAGGCGGGGACGGGCTTTTTTGATAAACACCTCATTTCTATAAAGGCAGTCTTGTTTTTTTGTTTTGTTTTGTTTTTTGTTTTTGTTTTTGTTTTAATAAATAATAATTTGGAAGGGAAAAAACAGTGGTCTTTGAAGTAGCCCTTTAGTTGGCTTCTAGCCTGGTCCGAGGCAACTCTTGCTCTATACCTCTTGTTCATCAGGAACCCAGAAGTTCTTCCTGTTCCAGACAGATGGGCAGTGGGGCTCAGCACTAGAGAAGAGAAGGTTCCTGCTACATTAAGAGCAACAGGGCTTAGCAGAGGGAGAAGGGATGACCTGTGGCACCCTGCGTGTTTTTCTTAGGTGACAGGCAGCTGCAGTCCAGATGCTCCTGAGAGGCAGTTACATTATTATAAGAACATTCCAGTCACTTGACATGTAGGGATGGGTGGCACGCAGTAGTGAGGGGGCCAGGAGCACTTCAGAGAAGGAAAGCGCATGTTGTTCTGACCAGTTATAAATGAGCAATACCCCTACTGTGTTGAGACCCTAAGAATGCCTAAGGGTGTTAGACCAGCACATGCTTCTCTTTAAAAATGCCCTCTAGGGACCAACCTTGGTCAACCTCGAGAACATAGTTCCTGTGCTGAGACTTGTATGTATTTTGCCTGGTCTGAGTATCCAGGTTTCTGGCTGACCTTGCAGAGAACTCTAGTGTTGGATACCACAGCAACTGCAGATGGGTGTTCTGCTCATCTAGCCTTTTGAAACAGTGAGGAGTGGAAGCCGGGCCTTGTCCCTCCTTCAAACAGTTGGCAAGCACTCTGAGTCCTGGCGGGTATGGATTGGATGTCAGAGAGCACGTGAAGGGGATGGTCTTATTTGTCTTAAGTTCTTTGCCATTCAAGTTCCAGGCTGGCGTTGGTGCCTTCCTACTCTGTTTTCTCATCAGAGAGGGGATCATGGTGTTTGAGCTCATCTGAGGAGGGGGCATTTCCCATTTGGCGGACACCCTGGGGAGAGGTTGTGTGAGTTCTCGTGGCCTCCATTCTTGCTTTGGGGGGGTGGGGGGAGTTCTTTTTTTTTTCCCCCAATCAGGAAGCAGCACTGAGGGGACAATTCTTAAGTATCTCCACCTTTCTTTTGAAAGAATTGGCTTTCTAAGTGATATGAAATCATAGTCATATATTTCAGGCTATAGAAAATGGTGAATTGACAAAATGTCATTAACTGCTTTGAACTAAAAGGAGACTTACATCAAGCACATAACAGACATTGATGAGTGCTTTAAAAAATCAGTATTAAGGCCGGGCGCGGTGGCTCAAGCCTGTAATCCCAGCACTTTGGGAGGCCGAGACGGATCACGAGGTCAGGAGATCGAGACCATCCTGGCTAACACGGTGAAACTCCGTCTCTACTAAAAAATACAAAAAACTAGCCAGGCGAGGTGGCGGGCGCCTGTGGTCCCAGCTACTCGGGAGGCTGAGGCAGGAGAATGGCGTGAACCCGGGAGGCGGAGCTTGCAGTGAGCTGAGATCCGGCCACTGCACTCCAGCCTGGGCGACAGAGCGAGACTCAGTCTCAAAAAAAAAAAAAAAAAAAATCAGTATTAAACTAAAAAGTAGTATACTTCAGTGTTGTGACATTGTAAAATATGAAAATGCTATAACCCTGCTAGTAAGGTCTGTTAATTGCTTTTCCATTCATGGGGATGACTTCCCAGTCCCATCTGGAATCAAGACATTTATTCTGATAAAAAAGAAGGCAAATTTCAAAAGAAAATAAAAGATGTTTGTTTTGTTGTATTTTGAATTTCGTTCTGTCACTTCATTCCTCTCCTCCTCCTACCATAAACAAAAAGTAAACTGATTGTATTTTACTTTTACATTATAAAAACACAAATTTTATTTAAAAAATTTATTTTAAAAATTTAGTATTACTGAACTGCTTAAACTCCCTCAAATAACATATTAAAAATTCTACAGTAGGAAAAATTTCATGTAGAATTATTTGCAGAAGTAATTTGTATTGGAGTTAGTATGCTTTTGTATGATACTCTATTCTAATTTTTTAAACATAAAAGCAAGCATTTTGAAAAATCTAAATATATATCAACTTATAAGAGAGTAAAAGACATTTTGGTGGATGCGTTTCTTCCAGTTTCTCATTAAAGTCTCTGTGTTTGTAGTACATGGATCACTTGGATTATAAGTTGAAAGTTGAACACGGCTCAGTCATCGCCTTGCTGATGAAGTAAGAGATGCAGGTTTAGAGCTGGGCACAGGTTCAGCAACACACTTCAAATTCCGTTAATTGGCGAGGACTTTGAATGACATTTTGATTCTTAAATTTTTGCCGCCTCTTGTTTACTCTGTTTTCTGTACCTCAAAAAGAGAAATTGGTTTCTGCTCTAAAATGCACAAAATCAAGAAGTTAAAAGGGTCGAGCGCTATACATTTATAGCATGCTAGAGTGAAAAATAACTTAAAACAGTGATCTGTTTAGTCCCTAGATTTTTAAACTTTTTGTTTGTTTGTTTTTTGTTTTTTTGAGACAGAGTCTCATCTGTCGCCCAGACTGGAGTGCAGTGGCGCGATCTCCGCTCACTGCAAGCTCTGCCTCCCGGGTTCACGCCATTCTCCTGCCTCAGCCTCCCGAGTGGCTGGGACTACATGTGCCTGCCACCACGCCCGGCTAACTTTTTTGTATTTTTAGTAGAGACAGAGTTTCACTGTGTTAGCCAGGATGCTCTTGATCTCCTGACCTCGTGATCCACCAGCCTCGGCCTCCCAAAGTGCTAGGATTACAAGCCTGAGCCACTGTGTCTTTGTCTCAGAAACAAAGACAGCAGCACCCTTATTTTATCAAATGCAATATTACAAGGAATGTAATTTAAAATGCAAGTGTGCTGGCAGAAAGGGGACTGATGATTCTGTGACTCTGCAGTTGCAGAAGCTCCATGTAGGAGATTATTTGGACATAGCGATTACCCCTCTTAATCAGGTGCTACCTCCTTCAGGGCACATGAGATCATATTAAATTCTTTTTTTTGAGATGGGGTCTCACCGTGTTGCCCAGGCCGGTCTTGAACTCCTGGGCTCAAGCAGTCTTCCCAGTTCAGCCTGTCAAAGTGCTGGGATTACAGGTATGAGCCACCACACCCAACAAGATTGTATTAAATTCTCTTTACTATTTCTTGAATGTATTTTTTAGTCAGTTTTGTAAAACAAAAATGTACATACTTTTTCCTCTCCTGCTTATTGCCCCTAAGCCTTTAAATTCTAAACAAATTGTAATGCATCCTATTTAGGAGCTAGATTTGGTGATGTGTATGATTACTAATAGAAAATCTGGGCTGGGGCCGGGCGCAGTGGCTCAAGCCTGTAATCCCAGCACTTTGGGAGGCCAAGGCAGGCGGATCACAAGGTCAGGAGTTTGAGACCAGCCTGACCAATATGGTGAAACGCCGCCTCTACTAAAAATACAAAAATTAGCCAGG